ATTCAAACCCACTGCATGCATAGCATCCATCTGCTCCATAATGAATGGTCCCCATGGGTCTTGAGGGTCAGAAGAATCTTGAAGATAAACTGATGGTCCTTTGGTGTGCCATGGAGACTAAGGTCTTTTCTCTAACTGAGGGTCTTATGTCTCCTGCCACCACTCAGGGTGCAGAAACACGTTATTTGCTTGAAAGTAGGATGAAATCAAATCTCAGACCCAACATTTTCCCATTCCATTGAAAGTCCCCCACCCTATTTTCAGACCCACATACTAGTTTGTAAGTGTTATTTGTAAGTGTACTGTTATTTTTAAGCTATTGCTCTGTTGATTTTCAGTGTAGTTTGCTTTGTAGTTAATGTCTTCATGTACACATGTCTCCTTTGGTGATTATTTCCATTGAATTAATTTCTAAACATTTAAAGGCCCAAGGTAAAGATTCTTTCATTTACTTATTTATTATTTATTTATTTTTATGTGTAAAGAAAGGAAAATTTAAAGTTCAATATTTATTATTATTTGTGTGTTAGTGCACACATATGTTCTGGTGTGTAAGTAGAGGTCAGAGGACAATTAGGTAGAGTTAGTTCTCTTTCCACCTTTACATGGGTTCTGTGGATTGAGCTTTGTCAGGTTTATACTGCAAGCACTTTTCCTTCTGAGGCATCACTGCCCCAAGAAAGGAATTTTTTTTTTTTGGTCCTTTTGAGACAGGGTCTCCCTGTAGCCCCAGCTGTCCTGGAACTTGCTATGTAGACCAGGCTGGCCTTGAACTCACAGAGCTCTGCCTGCCTCTGCCTCCCAAGTGCTGGGATTAAAGGCGTGCACCACCACGCCCAGCCCAGAAAGGAATTTTTAATTGTAAAATTTGCATTTATATAATATTAGCAAATCATTTTGTTTTAAGGTGACACTTCTAAAGGAGGCATAGCTGCACTTACGCAATGCAAGTTGAAATCAGACACCACTGCCAGTCTTGGAGATTCACCCACTGGACCTCCCTCATCTTTGCCCCTTGAAGACTTACCTCAGTTGGCTGTACGTTCTCTTCAGGAGAACACTGTTGGTCACCATGCTTATGCTATCAACCAGAAAGCATTGACAGGTAGTCATCTCACTGAAGAGAGCCTGAAAGTCTCAGATATTCCTGAATCAGCTGACCAGAAGACTGGGATATTAGCAGTACCTTCTACTTCCTACTCATATAGGGAAAATCCCAGTATTTTGTCAGGTGGTCATCTAACAGGCCAGTCACTTACAGTTTCAGCTATTACTACAACCGACTTGAAGACTGGGGCAATAGCATTACCTTCTTCTTCATACTCACAGAATGAGAAGCCCGGTATTTTCTATCAGCAGGAATTGACAGACAGTTATCCAACTGAGGAGGTTCTCAAAGTTGTTTCTGGACCAGTTGACCAGAAGACTGGAATAACAATAACATCTTCCATTTCTCACTCACATAGAGAGAAGCCTGGCAGTTTCTATCAACAGGTTGCACCTGAAGGTCATTTATCTGAAGAGGCTCCCAAAACTTTAGCTCATCTTGGGCTAGCTGAGCAGAATATGGGGACTTCACCTGTAATCCCTACCTCCTTTTCACAAAGAGAGACGCCTACTATTTTATATCAAGAGGGCTTACAAGACGGTCCTCAAATTGCTCAGGCACTGACAGTTTTAACATTTCCTGGACAAGCTGACCAGAAGAGTGGTCTAGCAATGGTGTCATCTACTTCCTCCTCACAAAGAAATAAGCCTGGTATTCTCTACCAGCAGGCCATGCCAGGCAGTCATTTACCTAAAGAGAATGTGAAAGCGTCAGCTGCTCTTGGGCCAACTGATCAGAAAAGTGGCTTAGCAACAGTACTTTCTACTTCCTACTCACAGAGAGATAAGCCTGGTATTTTCTACCAACAGGCCTCAAAAGCAGGTGGTAATTTACCCGAAGACATTCTGAAAACTTCAGCTGACCAGAAGTTTGATGGTCCAGCTATAACCGCTACTACCTACTCATATAGGGAAGAATCTAGTATTTTTTACCAACAAGAATTGCCAGAGGGTCATTTAACTGACAAGACAATGCAAGGTTCAGCTCTTCCTGGACCAACTGACCAGAATGTAACTATACTGTCCTCTACTTCTCATTTACATGGAGAAAAGTCTCATACTTACCAGGCTTTGCCAGAAAATTACCTGAGTCATCAGACTTGGAAAGTGTCCTCTGTTCCTGGATCTGCTGACCAGATTGTTGGAGCACCAGGAATCCTTTCTACCTACTCGAATGGAATAAAGCCTGGTAGCTTTTCTCAAGAAGAGTGGCCAGACAGGCATCTTACTGAAGAGACTCAGAAAGCTTCAGCTTCTCCTGGGCTGGCTGACCAGAAGCCTGGGACACCAACAATACACTCTAGTTCTTACTCACAGGGAATGAAGCCTGGTATTTTCTGTCAACAGCTCTTGTCACATAGGCATCCAAGTAAAGAGTCTCTGGATGTTTCAGCCGTTTCTAGATCATCTGACCAAAAGACCTGGGCCCCAACAGTAACCTCTGCTTCCCAGCCACATAGAGAAACAGCTAAGGTTTTCTACCAGCAGACATTATCAGACAGTCATCTAACTGAAGAGGCATTGCCAGTTCCTGTTGTTCCTAGCCGAAGTAGCCAGAAGACTTCTTTACCTTCAGAATCATCTGGTTCTTCCTCTCACAGAGAGCCCATTGTTTCCCCCAAACAAACCCTGCCAAGCACTCATCTACCTGAAGATGCTGTGAAAGTTTCAGCTGATTCTGGATCAGCTGACCAGAATGCTAATAGTCCAACAATGTCTTCTAGTTCCTATTCCCACAAAAAGAAACCTAGTATTTATCAACAAGAGTTGCCAGGTAGTCATGTACCTACAGGGACTTGGAAAATTGCATTTGTTCCTGAATCAACTGCCCAGAAGCCTGGGATGTCCCACCTGTATAGTGAGAAGCCCATTGTTTTCTTTCAGCAAGAGTTGCCAGATAGTTATCCAGTAGAAAAACCTACAAAAGCCTTATTTGTCCCAGGACCAGCTGACCAGCTATCTGGGGTGCCAACTTTAACCACTGCTTCCTACTCATGTGAAGAAAAGCCCAGTATTTCCTATCAGCAGAAGTTTCCAGATAGCCATCTAACTGAAAATATGCTGAAAGTCTCAGGTGCACCTGGACCAGCAGATCAAAAGACAGGGACATCAAAAGTATCCTCTACTTCCTATTCACGAAGAGAGAGGCCTGGTATTTTCTATGAACAGGCCCTACCAGATGGCCCTGTATCTGAGGAAGCTCTGAAAGCTTCCACTGCTTCTAGGCCAGCTGACCAAAGCATTACTATACCGTCTATAACCTCTACCTTCTCACAAAGAGAGAAACCTGGTGGTTTTTACCAACAGGCCATGCCAGGTGTTCATTTACCTGGGGTGTCTCTCAAAGCTTCAGCTGCTCCTGAACCAGCAGACCAGAATACTGGGACATTAGCAATATCTTCAGGTCCCCACCCACTTGGAGAGGAGTCCATTATTTTCTACCAGTCTCGTTTACTAGGTAGCCCACTCTCTGCAGAGAATTTCACAGTGCCACTTGTTTCTGGAGCAACTGAACAGAAGACTGATACACCAACAGGCGTATCAATTGGATACCCAGGTTCCCACCCAGTTGGAGAGAAGCACATTATTTTCTACCAGCAGGCCTTGCCAGATAGTCATCTACCTAAAGAGACTTTGAATGTCTTAACTTCTCCTGGACCTGTGGACCTGAAGACTGGGGAACCAACGATATATTCCACCTCCTATCCCTTTGGAGAAAAGCCCATTATTCTGTACCAGCAGGCCTTGCCAGAGGCTCAGCTAACTAAAGAGGGTCACAAAGTTTCAGTTGTTTCTGGGCCAGTGGACCAGAAGACTGGGATACCTCTCATCACCTCTTCTTCATGCCCAAATCTAGAGAACGTGATCGATTCTTACCAACAAGAGTTGCCAGATGGTCATCTAACTGAAAACACTAAGAAAGTTTCAGTTGTTCCTGGACCAACTGACCAGAAGACTGGGATACCAACAGTACCCCCTACTTCCTCATGTATAGTGAGGCCTAGTGCTTCTTACCAGCAAGAGTTGCCAGATCTCAGTGAAAAAGCTTTGAAAGCTTTAGGTGTTGTCAGACCTGCTCAACAGAAAACTGGAATACAAATATTGTCTTCTACTCCTTATTCACATAAAGGGAGGCCTAGTATTTCTTTTCAGCAAGAGTTACCAGATCTTACTAAAGAAGCTTTGCAAGTGCTAGGTGTTCCTGGAGTTTCTAAGCAGAAGACTGAGGTATACATAGTACCCTCTGTCCCTTACTCACATGAGGAGAAGCCCATCATCTCTTACCAGCAGGAGTTACCAGATCTTACTGAAGAAGCTTTGAAAACAGGAGAGGTTCCTGGGTCTACTGATGGGAAGACTCGGATACAAATAGTTTCCTCTGGCCTCTACTTGAGTAGAGAGAAGCCCGATGGTTTTCATCAGCAGGAATTGCCAAATTTTGGTGAGGAAGCTTTAGGTGTTTTTGTTCATCCTGGACCAGTTGTCCAGAAGGTTGGAATACCAGTAGAACCTTTAAGTTACTACTCACAGAGAGAGCCCAGTGCTTTCTCCCCGCAGGAGTTGCCAGCCAGCCATCTTACCGAAGAGGCTCTGAATGTGCCAGCTCTTTCTGTACTAGGAACGCAGAAACCTGGGGCACCATCAGGGCCTTCGAGTTCCTACTTCCATAGAGAGAAGCTCAATGATTTTTATCAACGGGCCTTGCCATATCATCATCCAACTGAAGGTTCTTTGAAAGCTTCAACTGTTCCTGGACTATATGACCAGAATAGGAGACCTACAGTACCATCTGGTTCCTGTTCATTCAAGGAGAAAGTCAAGATTTCAACTGCAGATCTGCTCCATGACCAGAAGACTAAGTTGCCAACTGCTGCCCATAGTTCCTACTTAAATAGAGAGAAGCCTGTGATTTCAACTGTGATTAGACCAGATGACCAGAAGACTCCATTACTGACAGTTTTTCATGGTTCTTATCCTCAAAGAATAAAGCCTGTTATTTTCTTTCAAAAACAGTTGCCAGGTAGAGATCAAAGTGAAGATACTTTAAAGATTTCAACTGACTCTGAACCAACTGATGTGAACACAGAGACACCAGTACTTCTCTCCGGTTCTTATTCACACACAGAGAAAGCGGATACATTTTATCCACAGGAATTGCCAGATAGACATCTAACTGAAGATGCTCCGAAGGGCTCAAGTGGTCTTGGACAAGTTGATCAGATTGCCTGGGTACCAACAGTTTCTCTTGGTATTTACTCACATGATGAGAAGCACCAACTTGTCTCAGAACATGCCCAGAGGCCGATAGATAATTTGAATTCTCCGGACTCTTTTCTCAGACCAAACAATATGCCTTTAAATTCTCAGATTGATGATGCAGTTATCATAAGTAAGCCAGAATCTTCAACCATTGGAGATGTTGGTTATGAGGAAATCCGGGATGCAGATAATAGTTCCAAAACTCTTAAAGAAATTCGCACTCTCTTAATGGAGGCAGAAAACATAGCACTGAAAGGGTGCAACTTCCCTGCTCCCTTGGTCCTCTTCAGAGATGTTAGCGATGTTTCATTTATACAGTCTAAGAAGGTAGTTTGCTTCAAAGAGCCCTCCACAACTGATGTTTGTAATCAGAGAGATCCAGTTACAGAGGAATGCCCACGCATGCAGAAGGATATTGGCACACAGACGAATTTGAAATACCAGAGAGGTATTGAAAACTGGGAGTTTATTAGTTCAACTACAATTAGAAGTCCTCTACAGGAAGCAGAAGACACAGCCAGAGTGGCATTTGATGAAACGTTTAGGCAATACGAAGCTGCCAGGTCTGCTATGAGGTCTGAACCTGAAGGTTACAGTGCAGCCATTGGGAATAAAATTGTCATTCCTATGATGACCATCATAAAAAGTGACTCGAACAGTGATATAAGTGATGGTTGCTGCTCACGGGACAGTAACTTACCAGAGTCTTTGGAATCAGCTTCTGATATTTTTCTAAACTCTTTTCCATATACTTCACCCAAGACAAGCATGACAGACAGCCGAGATGAGGAGGGGTTGTCAGAGAACGAGGACAGCTGTGGTAGCATAGATTCACTGGCCGCACATGTGAAGTACCTTCTGCAATGTGAATCCTCACTGAATCAGGCCAAACAAATACTTAGAAATGCAGAGGAAGAGGAATGCCGGGTCCAAGCACAAGGTTAAGTACTGATTGTCATACAGGCAGTGTTTAAGCTTACAAACATTTCAGTTTAACTGTTTAAATAGAGATGTTTGGAACTAAATATATTTTCTTAGAAAACTGCCATAATAATAATAATAAATTTTTATTATTATTTTGGTCTGAGACAGGGTCTCCCCATAGCCCCAGCTGACCTGGAACCCATTATGTAGACCAGGCTGGTCTTGAACTTACAGAGATCTGCTTGCCTCTGTCTCCCAAGTGCCGAGATTAAAGGCGTGTGCCATCAAGCCCAGCTGAAATGATTATATTTTTTGTTAACAATCTGGCAAACAAAATTTTACAATAATGTAGCTAAGTTACAGTACTAATTGTGCTAATCTGACTTTATGGTCTTTGGAGAAGTGAATTCTCATGTTAGGATGAATGTACCTTGGGCTTCCTTATGACCCCTTCCCCCTCATTGTAATATCCTTATTTTGAGGACAAGAAAACCTTCAGTTTACTCTGCTCTAATTTGGTATTCTAAAACTACATATGTTTTCTCTTTTTATTTATTTACTAAACATAATCTTTTTGGGGGGGGCGTCTTTTTGAGACAGGGTCTCCCTGTAGCCCCAGCTTTCCTGGAACTCACTGTGTAGACCAGGCTGGCCTTGAACTCACAGAGATCCGCTTGCCTCTGCCTCCTGGAGTGCTGGGATTAAAGGCGTATACCACCATGCCCGGCTTTCATTTTTTTATTTTTAAATATTTTAATTTTTATGTGTGTGAGTATTTTGCCTACATGAATGTGTACCTGTGTCATGCAGTACCCACAGAAGTCAGAAGAGGGCATTGGATTGCCCTGGAACTGGAGTTATGGATGGTTGTTAGCTATCATTTGGGTGCTTAGGAATTGAACCCAGATTCTCTTTCAGAGCAGCCATTGCTCATAACCCCTCAGCCATCCCCACCCCCTGCTTTTTTTTTTTTTTTTTGAGACAGTGTCTCCCTGTAGTCCCAGGCTGGCCTGGAATTCACTATGTAGATCAGATTGGCTTCACAGTTTTGTGGAGATCCACCTGCTTCTACTCTCAAGTGCTGGGATTAAAGACATGCGCCACCATTATTTATTTTTTATATGTTACGGGTGTTTTGCCTATATGCATGCATGTAAGTGCACCTGTGTAGTGCAGAGCCAGTGGAAGCCAGAAAAAGGTGTCAGATCCCCTGGAACTGGAGTTAAGGATGGTTGTTAGCTGCCCTGTGGGTGCTGGGAATCAAACCCAGGTCCTCTGCAAAAAGCAGCCAGTGCTCTTAACTGCTGAGCCATTTCTCCAACCACTCTCTTTTTATTTTTAAATGAAATTCTTGGAGCTGATCTTAGATATAAGGGGCAAAATACTTACCAAGGTATTTCACACTAAAATTTGTGTTAGAAGGTTAAAAGAGAATATTTACTAACTTTGAGGGGGGGGGTCTTTTTGAGTTAGGGTCTTCCTGCAGCTCCAGCTGGCCTGAAACACACTATGTAGACCAGGCTAGCCTTAAACTCAACAGAGATCTGCCTGCCCCTGCCTTTCGAGTGCTGGGATTAAAGGTGTGCACCACCATGCCCAGCTCTAATAGTAAATTTTTATAAAGGAGAAGTAACTGTCTTTAACACATGGGAAATACATTTTGAGTAGTGATTTATAAGCAGTTCATGACTGCCTTGGAATCTTGAAGTTAACTACCTATACATTTTGATTCTATAAAAATCTCCCTATTTTGTTTATTAATTTGAAATTTTAAGTGTTATAGAAGTGTTAGTAACTGTAGCAAGTGCTCAAAGGGAAAATAAAAAAAGACTTGATTAGAAGAATGATTAAGCTAAAATGATTTAAGTACTGTATTTAGTGTCCTCTTTGGAGAAGTACTTGTAGATGTTGATTTAAAGAAACTTTTAGACCTTTTAGACTTTTAGACCTTTTGTGGTAGCACATACCTATAATCTGGAAGCTGAGGCACAAGGATCGTGAGTTTAAGGCTACCCTGGGTTACATAGAAACACCCCATTTTGGAGGGTGGGGAAACTTTTGAATGAAATGACCTCAAGAACTGATGGGTCACATAATTGAGAGCACATGCTGTGTTGTGATGGGCATTAAAAGTGCAGATACTTATGATTTATCAGTTTTGCAGTGGATTTAATTGGAGATGTTTCTATGATTTCTTTGCAGCCTGGAATCTGAAGTTTAATTTAGGACATGACTATGGATACTCCATTTCAGAATTAAATGAAGATGACAGGAAGAAAGTAGAAGAAATCAAGGCAAAGTTGTTTGGTCATGAGAGAGCAGCCCATGTGTCCGAGGTATAAAAGAAACCTAGGAGGAAAACCTGAAACTATGAAAGGAAGGAGGGGTTAGAAATTTGATCTCTTACTTGGGCGTTGATGACTCCTTCTAAGTTGCTGATAATCCTGTGGTAAAGTAGGAATTTTAATTCTTTGCAAATTAAAATTGAAAGATTAGATCCTGTAAGTTTTTTGTTTTTTTTTCATCTTTGTTTTATGTGTATGAGTGTATTGCCTGCATGTATGTGAGTGCACCTGTCTCTTGCAATGCTGCAGAGGTCAGAAGAGAGCTTCGGATTCCCCTGGAACTGGAGTAAGGACGATTCGTAGCCGCTATGTGGGTGCTGGGAATTGAACCCACGTCTTCTGCAAGAGTAGTCAGTGCTCTTAACTGCTGATCCATCTCTCCTCCCCTAGATCCTGTACATTTTAATTCCAAGGTTATCATGTTAGAAAAATAAGAATTGAACCAGACGTGGCAGTGCATGCCTTTAGTCCCAGCACTTGGGAGGCAGAGGTAGGTAGAACTCTGTGACTTCAAGGCCAGCCTGGTCTACATAGGGAGTTCCAGACCAGCTGGGCCTACAGGGGACCCTGGTCTCAAAAAGACTGAAAAAAAAAAAGAAAAATAAGAATTGAATTGCTTGTTTTACTAATGTATTTTTAGAATTGAGAGATTAAACATCCCATTATTTTCCTTAAAGTTGACTTTTTGAAATCAGATGAAAATCTAGTTAGTTTCTGAAGTATATATTCTGTTTAAGAATAGTTAAAATAGTTTAATGCAAAATGGCTTTCTTTGGGGGTCTGGAGAGATGGCTCAGCAGTTAAATACAGTTGCTATTCTTTCAGAAGACCTGGGTTCAATTCCAGCACCCACATGGTGGCTCACAGTTGTCTGTAATTCTAGTTCCAGGGGACCCGACACCCTCTTCTGGGTGGTGCACTTACATGCAAGCAAACACTCACACACATAAAGCAAAAATAATAAAGTATTTTTTAGGAAAGGTGATTATTTTCCTTCTCTAGCAAACAATTTCATGTATAGAAGCACTTATAGCCGGGCATGGTGGCACATGCCTTTAGTCCCAGCACTCAGGAGGCAGAGGCAGAGGCAGATGGATCTCTGTGAGTTCAAGACCAGCCTGGTCTACATAGTGAGTTCCAGGCCAGCTGGAGCTACAGGGAGACCCTGTTTCAAAAAGACCAAAAAAAAAAAAAAAAAGAAGCACTTATATAGAGAAGTAAAACTATTTCCTGCATATTTATAGTTGAGCTTGAGAAACAGAACATTAACAAATGGCGTTGAACTAGGCATGGTGTTGTATACCTGTAATCCCAGTACTTGAGACCGATATCAGAGGATTACAAGTTAAAGGCCAGCCTAGGATTTTTATTTATTTATTTATTTATTTGTTTGTTTGTTTAATTTTTTAAACATTTTATTTATTTTTATTTTATGTGTATGCGTGTATTGCCTGCATGTAGGTAAATGTAGGTAAATGTAGCTAAATGCACCCGTGTCCTGCAGTGCCTGTGGAAGACAGAAGAGGCTGTCGGATCTCCTGGGACTGGAGTTATGGACAGTTGTTAGCTGCCATGTGGGTGCTGGGATTTAAACCCAGGTCTTCTGTAAGAACAACCAGTGTTCTTAACTGCTGAGCCATCTCTCTACCCCCCAGCCTAGGATTTTTAACAAGACCTCCTGTGTTAAAAACAAAAAACAAGGCAAACTAAAGCAACAAAATCCCCAAACAAATGCCATTAAAGTGTCTGTCCTTCCCCAGTCTGTCTTATCCTGATGTGTTGAGCTCCCTATTCTTCAGTATGCTTTAGAACTTTTCATAAAGTCTGCATGATGTATTTCATTCTTTGAGTGAGTAATGTCCCATTTTGTACATATACCATGTTTTCTTTATCCACCATTCTTTATTGGGCACTTAGTTTGATACCATATCTTGGCCATTAACAGTAGCTTAAAAAAAAACACTCTTAGCAATAAAGCTTGTTAAAAGTAGCTGGACAGAGTGCTTTGAAAGCTGTAAGAGTTTTTTGTTTTTTTTTTTTATTTTTTGGGGGAGTGGGGTGGGGTAGGGGAGGTGCCTGTGGAGGTCAGAGGACAGCTTGCAAGAGTTGGTTCTCTTGTTCTACCCTGTGGGTCTAGGAATTAAACTCAAGTCATGAGGCTGGGTGCCAAGTGCCATTACCTGCTGAGCCAGCTTGCCAGCACCCCCGAAACTGAGAAGTTTTAAAGTGGGAAGGTTATAAAATGTTTGTTATGAAAGCTTGAAAGATGTTATAGGGGGAAGTAGACTGTGGGCGTTTAAAAAGTTGTACAGGGGCTGGACAGAGGGCTCAGTAGTTAAAGCACATGTTGCTTCTCCAGTGGACCCAAGTTTGGTTCCCAGCACCTACATGGGGGTTAACAGCCTTCTGTAAGTTCAGTTCTGGGTGATCCGACGTCCTCTTCTGTCCTCTGTGGGTATGCATGGGTGTATTTACATACATGCAGGTAAAATGCTCATACATTTCAAATCAAAATAAAATTTAAAAATCTTCAAAAATTGTATAATACAGATTGTTATGAGGGAGGAAGAAAACGTTTTTGAATAAATGTAATCATTTCCAGTTTTAAAGCTGGAAGAAGTCTGTGTTTCTTGGGGTATTGATATATTAAGAGGTGCCGGGATAATAAGCCGTGATTAAAGATGTCATTGAGTGAATTTAATTGATCTTGTTTTGTTTTTAAAATCAAATTCTATTTTTGTAATAGTTTCTCTATTGAGAATTTCATGCACAAGCACTGTAATGACGGCGTTTCCACTTGTCCTCCCCCTCCAACTCCTCCCATGTGTCTCCCCAACCTTCCTCAGTCTTTGTGACTCTTCTTTTTTGTTGTACACACACACAACCTGCTGAGTCCAGTGTTGGTTAGTGTTGGTCATACGTACATATATTTATGGCTGATCGTTTGGGATTGGATAACCTATAAGGGGGCTTGTTCCTGTGGAAAACTAATCCTTCCCTCAGAAGCCATTGATTGCCTATAGGTCTTCATCTGAAAGTAGGGCCTTGTGAACTTTTCCCCATCTATGTTAGTGTATCAGCTGTTGTCATAATGCAGGTCTTGTTTAGGCAACCATATTGTTGAGATTTCATCTTAATATTGTATGCAGTTGTAGGAAACAGAATGGAAAGTGTGTCCTGCATCCAGTTTCCTCAGTGATTATCCCTTGAGAAAGCTGTACTGGTCTATCCCTGTGCTGATTCTGTCTCTAATACAGTTAAGATACTGAAGACTGATGATGTTTCACAGAGCTATCTAATACTGTCCTATCATAGCTACATCCATGCCTCTCCCCTCCCCTCTCTCCTCCTCTGTAACTCTTGTTAACCCCCGATCTTGTCCCCATTTCTGTATTTTATAATTTTAAGAATGCCACGAAAATGAAGTCATATGGTATGCAGCCTTTTGTATTGGCTTCTTTTTTTCTTTCAGAATAACTGAATTATTCAGAATTGACAACAGTTCTTTAGAGACTCACCTAGGTTGTCACATTTATCAATAGGTTTTTTTCCTTTGTGTTGCTGTGGATGTCCACAGTCTGTTTATGTTTTCCTATGAAGAACATTCTGATGTTTTTAAAATGTTTTGCCTTCACAAACAAAATTGCTGTAAACATTTGTGTTAGTCTGTGATGGAATCACTTTTTTCTTCCCTGTGGTGTGAGTACCCAGGAGTGCAGTTTGGGTGATCCACTTGTGCCACATCCTCAGCAGCATTTGATGCTGTCATTTTATTTTAGCACTTTTGATAGATTTGTAGTTGACACCTCATTGTGGTTTTAAACTCTATTTTCCTAATGATTTTTGATGATGAACATTCTTTTCATTTCCTTATTTCTTATCTATTGACATGTGTGTCCCTTTTGTTTTTCAGTGTTTAGTCCTGGGTGTGTGATCAAATCTAGATATGACACAGCTGAGGTAGTACTCCGTCACTGAACAACATCTACAGTCCCAGTGCTGAGTTTTGAGTTCTTTATATAGTTAGTTGAAGTCTTTTTTGGAGGGAGAGAAGCAGAGGGGCACATTGTTCTTACTGATGGGAATGAAAGTCCACACTCAAATGGTCTCCACTGAGTCAATGGGGATGAAAGTAAGTTTCATGCTCTTGCTGGGTCTTCTCTCAGAGCATGCTGGCTAGGTGTTAGGGTGCCTTAGAACAGTTTTTCCAGGAGATAGGTGTGCTAATAGGGCTACAAGTTTTCTTTTCTTTTTTGTTTCATTGCTTTTTTTTTTGTTTTCCTGTTGGTTGGAACAGAGCAGATATTATCTTTCTGTCTTGCAATTTTGTACCTTTACTGATATTGTGCCTACTGATCAAGCCTTTTGTTAGGGTTTTTGTGCCTGTTGTTTCTGAGTTGCTGGCCTTTCAGCTCCAGCTCTGAGTGTGTGATCCAGTCATTCCAGGGGTCTCACTGGGATATCATTTCCCAAGTTCCAAGATCTTTAGCTACTCCACCTTTTTATATCTTTCAGGTTCCTCTTGCATGTGTGTCACATATAATGGCCAGGGGATTTACTTGTATTAGGATTACGGAAACATATATACTCATCATCCAAAAAACTATTACTACTACTACTACTATTATTATTATCATTATTATTATTGAAAAAGTCTTGCTATGTTGCCCAGGCTGGCAACCAACTCATTATATAGCTCAAGCTAACCTGGAACTGGTGATCCCTCCTGCCTCTACCTCCTGAGTCTTGAGTTTTAAATATAGGCATTGGCCACTGTGGACTGGCTGACTTTTACTTTCCTCTTCCTTCTCCTGCCCTCTTCTCCCTTCCTCTCATGCTTAGAGCAAATGGCCTTGCACATGCTAGACTGCTGCTCTACCCAGAGTTTACTCGCTCATCCTTCTACCTTTTTTTCCCAATGCAACCCAGGGCCTTATGTATGCTAGGCAAACACTCTGTCTAAGCCACATCTTCAACTAAAACATTTCTGTATGAAATTAAATGCACTATATCATAAAGTAGAATGCTGTGTTATAATTTTTTTTTTAATAGGTAAAGCAAAATCCCCCTTTGGGATTGATTCTGTGCTCAGGAGGTACTAGTTTTTTTGTTTTGATTGTTTGTTTGTTTGCCTACTTTTGGTGGTAAAAATAACAGTTGTATGTCAGATCTCTGTAACAAAGAGCCAGAAGGAAGCCCAAATGAGTTTGAAGCAGCTCAAATAAGGTAGAATTTCACTTTTCTTTTATACTGTAGTCCAGGATAAGAAAGTGAGTTGCCCCCTGACCTAACCTGGCCAGCAGCTGCACTGTCCTCATGCTTGGCTTCCATGGTTGTTACATGCTTCACCATTTTCAGGTGCAAGAGTAGTCCTGGTGGTAATGGCAGTGGTGGCAGACACTATGGGGGTGAAGAACTGAGTTAAGGATAAGAAGCAGAAGTTGCACTTAAACTTTGGCTCATATCCCATTGGCTAAACCTAGTCATACAATCACAGCTAGTTGCAAAAGAAACTGGAAAATTTTATCATATAAACAACAAAAGTTGGGGTGCAGTTCTCTATTATTGAAAGGGAAAAGGTGGGGATACATACTGGAAGGACAGTAGTATGCTAGTGGACAATTTTAAGTTTTCTGAGTGATCTGAGTTGTTATGAGCTTTTTATCCTATAAAGTCTCATTTTCCTGCTGTGTCTTTGACCTGTTTTATAGATGAATGAGGTGACTGTCATGGTCATTTTTAGCCTGGATATAAAATTGATTAGTATGTCACTACTGGAGTACTTTAAGTAAGAGCCCATTTATATCTTCTAGGATTTACAGAGTCCATGGGGAATAGGATGTGTGCCCAAAGCCGTATGTGGTCACATTATCATTGAGAGCCATGAAAAAGGATGTTTCAGGACTCTTACTGCTGAACAACCACACCTGCATGGCCACCCTTGTGTTTTGAGATCTGCTGACCCTTCAGAAGTGATTAGAGGACGACGGAGCCCATCATCATGGAGAACCAGGCATATCAACATTTCCAAATCACTAGACCAGAGCAACCCCCGTTTTAAAGTTTGGGATTCCTTGCAGTTACAAAGTCACCCCCCATTTCAACAACTTACACCCGAGGACTTCAAAATTAGCAAGGGTGTTGGAGTGTCATTCAATGCCAATTTTGATCCTCGGCTGTCAGAATTAGTAGAGCCTACTTGTATGCCATCTGAAGAAATGGATTTTCCTTCTTCTACACAAACATCACCCCCAGAACCCATGAAACAGTTTACTACCTCCATCACTTTGTCTTCTCACCAACATCCTGACTGCATTTCAGATACCTCTGTTTTTAAGGTTGGTGTTACTGAAGGTAGCCAGTGTACTGGACCATCTGGGTGGGTGTGTAAGTCTCATAAACCCGAAGAGCAGATTTCTCCTAAAGATCTTACACAGAAAACCCCTTCCCCTTCATCACTTAAAAGACATAGTCATTCACCAGTGACTATTTTAGCAGAAGGTGATAGGCAAAGGCACAAATTACCTGTTGATTCTGAGCATTCTCATCAAAAAGGAAAACTCTTAGAAAGATCATATTTTAAAGCCAGTCATTCAGACCCTAGTGTCAGTACAAATTATAGCAATTTCAAGGGAGTTCAATTTTCTCATAAAGATATTCTCATTATTCTGGACAAACTGAGTTCCACATCAGAAGTAAAAGAGAAGAATGTAGCTTTAACTCCTGATCTTTCTTCTTGCATTTTTCTTGAACAACAAGAGCTCTTTGAACAAAGCCACACCCCACATACAGATCATCATGTGAGAAAATACCGTTCTCCCTCTTGTCCAGACATCGCTTCTTGTATTTTTCTTGAGCAACAAGAACTCTTTGAACAAAGCAAAGCCCCACATACAGATCATACGATGAGAGAAGACCATGCTCTCTTGCCTCAGTGCCACGATTATATAGTTTCAGACCTTCCTTCTGTTTTTCTTGAACAGCAGCAGTACAAATCCCAAGATGTAGATGACCACATGAGAAATCTTTCTCAAGGTCAGTGTTCTGTAGTAGAAAAGATTGAGTGTATTCCTAAATCACACTTTTCTAATCTGATAAATGTTGAAGCCAAGTTCAGTAATATGATCTCCCAGTCAGCCCCTGACCACTGTACATCTGCATCTACTCCACCTTCAAATAGAAAAGCGATTTCATGTGTTCATATAACTCTGTGTCCCAAGACTCCTTCCAAGTTGGATAGTGGAACAGATGAAAGATTTCACTCACTGGATCCTGCTTCTAAAACAAGGATTAATAGTGAGTTTAATTGTGATCTACAAACTATATCTTCAAGATCATTGGAACCAACCTCCAAATTATTGACCTGTAAACCTGTAGCACAGGATCAAGAATTTTTAGGTTTTCAAGGACCTAAATCTCCACTGGACTTGGAAGTTGTACAGTCTTCTCTTCCAGCTAGTAAGACTGTCACTCAGGACTTGAAAACCATACCTCCTCAGAATAGCCAGATGGTAATCTCAAGGCAAACACAAGTGAACATTTCAGATTTGGAAGGACCACAGGGGACTCCAGTGTCTGCAGATGGGTAAGTCACTGTGATAACAGACAAGCTAATGAAATTTGTAACAAAGGGCTTAAAATGAGTAAGCAAATGGAAAGTCTTTGGGAAAAAGCAGTATGATTTCTTTTATAGGTGGTTGAATCTAGTCTGCTAGAAGTCTTTCAAGAGGTAGGTAAATAGTAAAAATATAAAGGCAATACATATTTACAAAGGACTTTTGGCAAGATTTGACTTCAGGTACAGGCAGTTGATTACTTTGAAAAGAACTGGTCATCCAATGGTACAGTTTGCTAACTACTTTTATGTTGAAGATATACTGAAGATTTCCTTTGGGAGCTTGCACCATAAATTGGGGGGTGAGATTTATTTTGGTCATAGTTTGAGAGGATTTAGCCAATGGTTGCTTTCAAGTGTTTTGGCAACATGTATCTTTAGGAGTGTGTGGTAGAGGAGCTTCTTTATCTCATGGTAGATAAGAAGTAGAATGGAGCCATGTTAGGAAAGGGACAAGACACGATGCAGCCCCAAGGAACTAGGCCCCACTGTCTACAGTTCCACTACCTCCAGTAGTCTATTCATGTTTTGAAACTATCAGTGGGTTAAACCATTCTTACACCAGAGCCATCATGATCTAACTGGCTCTGGAAATACCCTTAGACACACTGAGAGGTGCTCTTTACTAATCTAGTTGGGGTTTTTTTTTTTTTTTTTGGTCTTTTTGAGACAGGGTCTCCCTGTAGCCCCATCTAGTCATTTTTTAAATCTAATCATGTTTTCAATCAATATTAGCTATCACATGTCTCTTTACATGTTCTTTGTGTATATATCTTCCCTCCCTTTCACTCTAGCTCATGATTTTCCTCATATATTTAGTATTTTAAAGAAGAGAAAAAAAGGAAAGCAATACAGAAAACCACCCCATAACCTTGGAGTGGAGAGTCGTAGCAAATAAGCACTTGAGCCAGGTGGCTAAAGTCAATCCCAGCAGTAATGCTTATCATTATAATCTTCCCTTGGTATGAGGCCTCCCTTACCTTGTGTTGCATGAGTGGAAACTAAATATATGGACTAAATACTTAGATCTTATTCATCACAATATTAGTTCTTTGTTTAATTTAGTTTTATTTTCATGGGTAAAGAAAATTACTTGTGCGTTAGTGTTCTCACCTTATGGTTGAGAAGGTAGCATACCCTAGTGGAAAGCCCGAGGCTTGGAAGGGAGGAAGGCAGTATTTACTCAGCTGCTTCTTGTGGCAGTCCCAGGCATGAGGGATCTTCATACACTCATTTATTCTTTATGACAATCTGATTCCCTGATTGACTGGGGAACTGAGATACAGAATTTGCTCCCTGTGCCAAGTGATGCTGCTGGAAGGAGAATGAGCTCAAAAACAGTCTGTTTAAAGAAAGCAAGAGTTCATTTCCCTACATAGTGCTGTCTTACAGATTCTTGAACACCACTTGAACACCACTTTCACCCACAGTCTTGGGCAAATCATTTAATATCTGTGGCTCTCATATGTAAGAAGTTGTAGAAGGAAAGGGTTGGAAAGCTAAAAGATCTGTTAGGAAGCTGAAGTGATGAACTGGATTGGTGCAAAAACCCCATGGTGTCAATTTGAGTATTATGTTATAACAGGCTATGGAGATGATGCTGATTGTTTTGAAAGCTGTTTAGAAATTCAAAGCATGGATAAATTGTGTGCACTATTCATTAAACCTTTCACGGTCTAAATGCTAGCTTTTTGGGGCTGAATTCTTTTAAAATGAGATAAAGCTATGAATGAGAGAAAAATAGATGATTTTAAGTATGAACTAGTGATGCTGTTTGTGAGAATGCGGTAAATGCCAAGCATCATAGTTAGTGCTTCTGTTGTTTATACTTTAACTACAATCTCATAGGCAGAGATCATTAACTCAATTTCTAGATGGTTGTTGTTGTTGTTTGTTTGTTTTTGTTTTTTTTTTTTAAAGACAGGGTCTCACTATGTAGCTCTAGCTGGTCTGGAACTGACTTTGTAGACCAGGCTGGCTTGGAACTCACAAAGATCCTCCTGCCTGTGATTCCCAAGTGCTGAGATTATAGCCTGCATTACCAAACCCAACCAGTTTCTCGATTTTAAAACCTTGAAACATAGAGAATTTTTGTGGTCTGGAGAGATAGGTAGCTCAGTTGGAAAAGTGCTTGCTTTGTAAGCATGAGGACGTGAGTTCAGTTTCCAGTACCCATGTAAAACAGCCAGGTGTTGTGCTGGATGTTTGTATTCTCAGCACTGGGGCTACAGAGACAGCTCCCTGGGGCTCACTGACTAACTAGCCTAACATCTTGTATTAGCCTAACTCAGTGAGAGGGGCTAGGAGCAGTGACATCCAGGAACAGCTGAGCAAACCTGGTGCTTACATCTGGGTTTTTAAAGTCTCCATAAAAAGGAGAGCTCTTCAGAGAAATGGTTGATTCCAGCTTCAGCGGGAGGCAGTGGCAAAAGTGAGGTCATTCTTAGTAACTGGAACAACTTGAGCAAGAAAATAATACTAGTAGCACTAGATTTTGCCCAAAGCATGAAAGAGGTATTGATGATGATGAGCCTCTACTGATGTAAACAACCAACCAGAGAAATAAGTAATGGAAGAGGAACAATAGCATTTCCTTATAGAGAAATAATTTAAGGAAGGAGAGGCTTCTGTTGGTTTGTGGCTCAGGGGGTACAGTCTTATAATAGGGAAGGCACAGTGACTAAAAGAGCTGGTTCCATGCATGGCTTGAGGAGCTTTTGAGGGGGCTTGTTACATCAGCAGGCAGGAAGGAGAGAGGCTCGGGCTGGAAGTAGGACTGCCTGTGCCATTGCCTGCTCCTCAGCATCCCCCACCTCCAGCTAGGCACTCTCTCCTAAAGAATCTACAACCTTCCAAACCAGTGGCTATCAGCTAGTGACTTAATGTTCAAACCATGAACCTGTGGGTGGCATTTTTACATCCGAATCATATGATTCTCCTTATCAATGTCTTGAAGACATCCTTTGTCGCTGACTGTGGTTACCCTGGCAGAAGTAAGATGGCTGATACCACTCTTCACCCTAAGAGGATCTGAAGAGAAATTAATTACTCACACAGAACTTTCAGATCTGGGTGGATTTAAGCAGGTCTGGGGTAGCTTAAGCAAAGAAAAAAAAAAAGTGGATTGGGTTTAATAGTAGCTAGAGCTTGGGACTGGGAAACAAAGTCCCATTCAGAAAGTACTTGACCTTTTCACTAGTCTGCCCAGTCAAGGGACCAAAGGGGAGTAAGAGGGTAAGTCTTAAAAAGAAATTTGTGGGAAAAACAAAAAAAAACAAAAAGAAATTTGTGAACAAACAGCAGAAATGGAGGCAAACTCTTTGCTATAGCGGTCTTACGGGGATTTCTGTCTGCATTCTTCATTCATGGTAGCCTTTATTGCTAGATAGAATTTGCCTAAAAACATTTTCTTAAGTATGTTCATCGGAAATATTCACTTGGGGTTTTCTTTTCCAGTATTACTGAGTGGACTATTCATAAATGAATATGTTGGTACTTTATGGGATTTTGGTAGAATTTAGCAGTAAAAGTGTTTTGCCTTGGGATTTTTATTATAGAGTTGACTTATTTAATGTGTATATCCAAATTTTTTTTTTGGTGTCAGTTTTGAAAAAGTGCTTTTCAGAAGCATCTTATTTTAAGTTGACATGGGTTGTTTTAGTAATGCTTTGTTGTTGCACTAGCCTTTTTATCTCTGATACTGGTCGTTCCTATTAAGAGTTTAAAATATGGGCTTTGCTGAGCCTTTTAAGTGTGCATTTTCTATTACATTAGTTTCTGTTTTTATCTTTTGTGTCTTCTCTTTTGCGTCCTAATTTGATCTTTTTAATACCTTTCTGAGGATACTTAATTTTAATGTATTCATTAATTTTTGTTAATTTTTAGGATTCTTTTCTAATACATTTATAGAGAGACTTTAGCTTTTTTTCTCATTTTTGTCCAAATGTTTATCATTTTGTTGTAATTTCATCTTTGTTCTATAGACTATGCTGATTTGTGTTTCTAACTTCATTGTATTCATGGAGATTATTCTGATTTCATTATAGTTAAAATGTTTAAAATCATTTTATGATATTGTAACTCTGTTAAGGTCAATGTGCAGTAGAAAGGAATGGGTATTCTGCTGTTGCTGCATGTGAGATAGAAGGCAGTTTGGTCTAGTTGGTCAGATATACTGTTGAAAAAAATATTTTTAAAGATTTTAATTTTAATTTCGCCTCTCACCCAGCCTTCCCCAGAGGGACCTGCAGCCTTTTACTAGAGTAACTGTACATTGGGGGAAAGGAAATAATCAGACTTTCTGCAGCCTATTGGATACTGATTCTGAGTTGACACTGATTCCAGGAGATCCTAAAAAGCATTGTGGCCCTCCAGTTAAAGTAGGGGCTTATGGAGGTCAAGTGATAATGGAGTTTCATCTGACGTCCGTCTGACGGTGGGTCTAGTCTGTACCCGAACATGTCATGTGGTTATTTCCCCAGTATCAGAATGTATAATTGGGATAGATAGACTTAGAAATTGGCAGACTCTCCACATTGGTTCCCTGACCTGTGGAGTGAGGGCTATTATGGTTGGAAAGGCCTAATGGAAACCACTGGAATTGCCTCTGCCAGGGAAAATAGTGAACCAAAAACAGTATTGCATCTCTGGAGGGATTGCAGAAGTCAGTGCTACCATCAAGGATTTGAAAGATGAAGGGGTGTTGATTCCCACCACATCTCCCTTTAACTCTCCTATTTGGCCTGTGCAGAAGACAGATGGGTCATGGAGAACAACAGTTGATATCAAAAACTCAATCAAGTAGTGACTCCAATTGTAGATGCTGTACCAGATGTAGTTTCCTTGCTCAAGCAAATTAAC